CAAATACTAAATAGAAGACAATGGCTGTAAACAAGAATTTATGTAAAAAATTTGTTTAACCTTTGCAATTTTCGAAATAAAATATGTAGGCAGTCTCCAGGGTGGAAAAACGTTTATTGACAAAGGCAATTTTACTTTGCGACAAACGAGAAAAAACAGCCTTTTCACTCTCATGACACAATATCCATAGACAAAATGATAATCAGTGCTACGGAAGAATCGACGTGACCACGTACCTAGTAAAAAGCTCCATTCCTAAGTTTTGTCCTCTTTGATCTGAAAAAAGTTGGTATCGCATTCCTCCCGTTGACTGTTCTGTTCACTGCATTTCATGGTCTATTGATCTCAGTGCGGAATGCGTATCTGTCAAAACTGTCATCGCATATCAATTCGAGTGGGTAGTACTCACATCAAAATTGCATGTATGAGTTCCGTTCCGTCGCGAACAACATGATGTTGTTTTTAACAAATCAATGCGAAATACATGTCCAGTGAGAATTTAATTTGGTTATATTACTTGAGGATATTCATAGCTATCAGCTGTGATTGCCACTTTACACGTGGTGGTTTTCTTGAAATGTTTGCTTAGTATATGATTCACTGCTGAGGATATGTGTAGGCGAACAGCTTTTGGACTGAGTCATCTAAACATGTGTTCACTTGTTGGATGGTAAATAGAGCTCACCGGATCTAAATCATCAAAGTACTAGACTCTGTTGTCCTTACTTGAACGCCTTTGACAGTATTAGTGGCACCCTTTGACACAATGTGTTACATGCCATGCGGTAGGTTGCAGAAAACAGTCGCGTACAATGTGAGGACAACTAATCAACTACTGCCGCACATGATAATCACACGCAGTTTATTCAACTGATAGCACGTTTTAGTGCATCTGGAAATTGTTCTGCCGATATTCCGGTCAAAGCACCAGTAGCAGCCAATGGAAGATTGTGTCCGGATTCTCAAAATAGACCTAGAGATATATAGATTAGTTGTCAGGTGTCAAACACGTTCTATCCCGATAAATGTGTGACCTTTGGCTAGACAAAAGATCACAACGAAGAGCTCAAATCTAAGGTTTCATATGGTAATAGGAAAGAAAGCGACTTTCCTCGAAAACACGAAACTAATTCATCCGGTTTTCGGCCTTCTAAAGAATTTGTTTTTCAGATGCAAAAAATGTCAAATTTTTACCCAGGGTCCAAATAAGAATCAATTTAATTAAATAAAAGTCCCATTAATTGAGAGCGATCGAGGAACCAATCGACCCAGCGATCGATCCATCCGTCTTGGTGATTTGAAGCAATGCTAAGTTTCGGCTAAGATTACAGTCGCACTTGGAACAGGAATCCGGGAAAGCCAGTTTTAAATAATTCATCCGTATGCCATTACAGTTTATTTATGGAGATAAAACCTATGAGTTGAAAGGTGAATCATAGATTATTTGAAATGGATTATCACAGAAAAACCACGTATGTATGAAAACTTTCCAAGGTGTCCTTACTTACATTATACCGGTGGAGTGAAGTTCCACAGCGGACTAAGCGGCCTCTTGGTCACTGGAAATGGTGTTTGCCAAGGGTGTTCTATTCCACCATCTTTGCTGTAATGAAAAATAGACCAAATATTAGACAACATCCTGCGAGGTTGCCAATATATTGGTATTATATGATCATCCTGAGAATACGGTGTGATTTACAAGAAGCTGACTGTAATATTCTTTTTATCCGAGTGGATAGAAGAAGTGCAAGGTGAACATGATTGGTTAACTGACACTCCGCCTCCTACCCCTTTCGGTATACTCTCCGTACCTGCAACGGATAAACTGGCGCTGTAAAACTAGACGGTAGCCCTCCTGTTAGGTAATCAAAGAATTGATTAACGACGTAGTCCGTTGCTGGATGCATGACGGAAGCACAAAAATATAGTTCACCTCGTACAGCCCAAAACGCTCCAGCGGCGTGCGCCAGACTGAGACACTGTTAGAGTTTTAGTGATATTTCGTTCAAATAGAAAAGTCCAGTATATTGTACATTTGTGAGGCCCATCCTGCTTTAATGCTGCAAGAACTTCAGTTTACTGATAGAAAGTTTCCATCAAATTAAGTTCTTCTACCAGTTCTGTTTGCTTATTTTACACTTCATAGTGATCAGTACCGATAAAGTTAGTTAGAGTCTCAGTTGAGTGCAACCCAAAACAGTCTTGATTCATCCAGCGCGGATGTCGTTTTATGTGATAAGCTAGTATTTGTGTCGGATGGCTGATATAGACTGTACGACGAGAACATCTGGAAGTGTGAAAAACCAAAGAATCCATAGGCATCGGTTGTTTATATTTTGCCTCCTATTGTTGGTAACGGTGATTTTTTGACAGGACAACGTGCTAAGCGACATCGAGTCTTTTGCTATTCCTTTTCAATTCCTTACATTGCGTCATTGCATTTGACAAGTTCAATGAACAAGTCTTCCTTTCAACCCTCAGTGCAAGTTTATTTGAAATTTATTGTCACATTGCTTTGAAGTTCATGTCAGATCTGAGTGTTTATGAGACTAATCGGCGTTCAGTTTGCATTTATTCTTGTTAGTAGATAATTTACATTTTTGATGGAAAAGATGCTATGTTTCTTTTCAGTCTTCTTGGCATAAAGCCACTCCATCTGTTTGTGACGCTTTACACGATATTACATCAGACTTTCTTGGGAACAGTGTAACTGGTTTATCAGATGTTTCGATAATTTTTTCCGGCTTGTGATATGACACTACAGAAATCCGCGGCAGCGTTACAACTAATTACCTGAATCGCGGACGCAAACACACATCGATCCATTCCACATAAGCCAATATTTGCCTATGAATAGTCTTTCAATAACTTCACACAAATAACGTAATGACTTGAGTACCACAAACAAACGTTCGTTGAAAATCTTGTTTGTGTAAAATACATTTTATTTGGCGGAGAGCCAAAAGGTTCGCTGAAAGCTTTCTGATCCCGACAAAACTTTAGATTTATTTTCTCCTATTTGTGAACATCGATCGAATTATCGTGTGTCCATGGTGACCAGAACATAAAAAGTATCACTCAGCTCTGAGCTAAGGGAATTTGCAAAAAACCGTTTTGTATAAGAAGCATGAAATATATATGACCGCGAATAGAGTTTTCATGATGATGAATAGAACCAAATCTTAGTATTTTAGTGAAATACCAAACAGTAGTTTGTTTAATATGCCAAATACAAATTGAATGGAATAATTGTCGTTTATTTAACAGATGAACTATTTGTTATATTGATCGACTGATCCGCCAGCAACTTATCATTATTTATGCAAACATACAGACAAATGATTTACAAAACTCCTAATCCATTACCAGTTTTCAGTTTTTTCGGTAATTTGGGAAGGTTCGCTGTCTGAAACTCCATTTGATCTGTCTAGCCAGAATTTTGTTGCAGCAACAAAGGTTAATTATTTTTCATCATTCAGTTTCACATCACCGAAAGTGATCATATCACAATCTTTTGATGTTCCTCCTTCCCCATGATGTGGACGTAGCATCTGCACGGAGACAATTTGCAAAGAAGTTCAACGATTGCGATATCGCTTGAATCAAATGAAACGGATGATCGCAATAAAGGATACCAGTATGTCAGATGAAAAACTGACACATTTCATCCAGGTGAGCGGGTGTTATCAAAAACCTAAGTTGCATTCCATGCTGAATACCTGCTTTTTCATGTGTGATGTGAAATGGAGAAAAGATGGTTAGGCTTAACTATCAGAATCCGCAGGATTGCCGAGACCTCCAGGCCACAATCAGAACACAGTATAACTGAAATAATTAAAAAATGTGATCAACAAATATTCTGCCCGAAACTTAGCATCAATCTGTTGGTTCTAGTTCTCTTATGTAAACAAATCTTTAGAAATAGGTCTGTAACTAATTAAATTTACCGATCACCGAATAAGCAACTAGGGTACTAAAAGCAGGGCTCAAATATGTGAACTACTGGACAATGAATCAGCTGTCTCGCTCGACTTCCACGATTCCAATCGTTGGCACATATATCGGTCAAATTATTACCTTGTTTTCAGGTACTCAGTTACCTTAATATTGCATATTCGGTAGTTAGCCGAGTTGTGTGTGTTGTGTTTACTCATACAAAGATGCAGACAACCGATCGGAAAAAAATACTCGGCAACCGACCACTAGCCAGAACTGTAACATTCTCACAGAGTTTTGAAGCTGAACCGGATTCATAATGATCAGTCAACATTACTCATGATGATCCTAGTGTTTCAGTTTGTACTTCATTCGGGTTGGAATTTGAGTGTCAGAGTTCGCGTAGCCATAAATAATGAAATGCTGAGTCTCCTTTTTATTGGGTTCACAAAGGTGGAATGAAAACCAATATCAATTATCCCACACACACTACTCACAACTAACTGTGAGGCAAACTCGAAGATCCATCAAGCCTGTTAGGTATGTGGCAAGTCAGCCCGTATCTTGCATGGAAGTCCTGACTTGGTGGAAGGCTCTCGATTGAAGTTAAAAGGTTGTCATCTGTGTCTCCCTTCGTTGCTGTTGGGCCAAATGAACTGACTGACTATCACTAAAGACGACACCTGAACAAACATGAATTGGCAATTTGGTTCAGCCATGGCATGAGATGGTTGGCACAGTGGTAATACACGCCTTCCATGCGCTGAGCCCGGAGCTCTAATAAGAGCGAACCTCGAGTCTAGTGTATGTTTAAATCGATTAACTGAAGATTGTGCGTGAAGGTGAAGTCCGAAGAATAGTCAAGTTAATCAAAACCTAAGGTGTTAATATTCATTCCCGTTCGCCGATTACCACGTGAATCATGTGATTTTCTATATGATATGTAATATTCAGTCACACATCATTCGAATTTCACAGATAGAAGTGAATACATATCGGGTTTCAATTTCAAATAACCAAATATTCATCGTCCGTTTTGTTTAAAAAAATACTTCATCTGCCTCATGCTTCGCACCCACTTAACATTGATTCAACTGTGTAAGCAATCGGATCAAGCACTGGCTCAAACTGAAAAACATTTGGAACAATTGGATCACGTGACTCAACAATGTGCGAACTATTTTTGTGAGGATGTATCCAGCGGATTCAAATTGGTCGACTGTTTTGGAACATTTCATACATTTTTCGATCGTGTCACAAATGCGGAACAGGTGAGTGTTTCTTCTTGGATCGTATACAATTACAGCAAAATGAAAACGCAGTAAGATATACTGTACAATTTTATATTGGAACCCCTGGCAACTGGAACAGCATGAGACAGCTCACAGATCATTTGAATAATGGAAATAATAGCTTGAACCGGTTTTTTAACTCAAACGATTTTCTCCGAACGGAGGCAGTTTTGACAACATTTATCAAGCCTTGTTCGAACAGTGAAGGAGAATGACCAGATTATAAGGGACCATGCGATTATTAGGAAGAATATCCGAATGACACTATCAATGTTGAAAATCATTCTATGTGATGAAAAATATAAGTGAGATAATTGCGGGTTCGTTCGAGCCTGTTCAAGTCCAAGTGGATTCGGTGCTTGTTTTTCCAGTGATATTTGAGGTACANTGAGGTACACTGACCTTGCACGACAAGTGAGCCTTCATAAACGTATAAAATTTCAAGTGGAATCAAAATCAGCAACGTTTACTCAAAACATTGAAATGAGGGGATTTTGGTTATCAATTTTGTGCAAACCTCATTTTTGTATATCACAAGATTCATATTTCCGTGTCACATTACAAACATGCTGCTGATTCACTCACAGTGATGTTCACGTCCTTCATTAGCAAATCCATTTACACATGTTCAAGCCCGGAACCCTGGGGACTGTTCACCATTATTCCCATTGGTAAAGCATTTTCATCTATGATTTCACCTAAACGCTTTTGTTCCATCGTCATCACATCCTCTGAACTGAAATGTTGCAAAATTATCTGCACAAGTCAGTAAATTAACAAACAATACAATACAAAAATCGTGTAATTAGTGATCTTCATTTCTGTTAAACTTAGGCAATAATATGTGATAAAAGCAGCTGGATGAGAAACACAGGGGACACTCGCTGTGTATTGGAGTACGTTTACGATCGTGACCAACCATCAAGCACTGAGGCACTTTTCGGTTCCAAAGTATTGGCCACTAAACCAACTATAGCTATGATCCAACAGTGAGGCTTTTCTTTAACAGTCGACGCCTAAGACCGGCGACCGCACAAATGATTGTGATGGGTTGGTTTCTCCTTCTGAAAGTCTAATTTTCTGGCGGTCGAAAGGTGTCGTTTGACTGTTTCGGTTACTCCCGTGTCGCCGGCTGAGTTGCAGAGATATAGAAAACAATAGTCTAGACGGTAATCCACAAGTTATGGTGACAAATGATAGATCACAGTTCTATGCGATGGAGATGAATACGTGACTGCATAGTATTAGTGGTCACCGTTTTTGAACAGCTCCACATCATCCGTGCTCGAGCGGCACGACTGAGAATTTGGTGAGATGTCGAAAAGTCCCATTAAATCGGCGAATCCGAGAACACTGTCTACGTTGAGGATACTACTGGACAGGTTCTCGCTACAGTAGAGAGAGGTCGTCATCAAACCTACACCAGGGTAGTGGTTCAAGTGGCAGTGCTTTCAGACTGTGTCGAATCCTTTGTCGTTATTTATTTCGGAGACGATGATCTGCGATCACCAATTGGCATTATTCCTTAGTGGACTGGAGTGACTATGGTGGAGTGACGCAAAAGTTCAACGGCACCATACAAAACGAATTCACCTCAGAAATTCGGCGGGCACAGAATGAAACCCCATCGATTAGTTCCACTAATAGATTGAGCTCTGAAAGACCAAGAATCGGTGTCCCTGATCTACAACTAAGTGACTCAGATAGGCCACCGGAAGAGAATGTTCTCCTAAAACTGCAATAACTACAAGGAGGAGCACTTCAGGGTTATGTGGAGTTTTGTAGGGGGAAATTTATGCTAAGCTGAAGCTACGAGATAATGTCAATCAGGAAGATACGCCCTTTGAACCAAACAAATTCACCGCTGAACATTCATCAATACCATGACCGGCATGACAAGGCAACTGATTGAATTTTATTTTCTGGGTCAATAATGTACATATAAATTATTACGTTAGATCTTTCAAAACCAACCAATAGCTGCATGAGAGAAATGAATGATCTCGCTTGAGCATATGGTGAGTTTAGTCGTTTACAAAACAAATGCAGTGTAAATTGAAAAGCTAGAAGGCCCTGGACGACCGTTTCGACCTGTTTTGGTCTCATCAGCTGTGTGAATCCATCGACCCAGCTGACGATTGAACTCGGAATCTTAGAGATAGAAAGTAAGCATACTACCCACGAGATCACCGGGCGGCGGATCAGGCCGTGTTCCATCTTCCTTACGCACAACATAGCACACCCCATCATTGCGAGATAAACACAGTCATTGCACCAGTTCGAAACAGCTGTTTAATACATCCTAGCTTTTTACTGCACGCTTCGTTTGCACTGCACGCTACGAAATTCAGCAGATGATCAAACCAACAGCTATTTTCTTTGGTCCATTCCTGCCTCTTGGTGTTAGGAAATCTCGATCACTGGTCATGGATGCGATGGCGTTTGTAGGTCCGAGAATATTTGGAGTACTTCAAACCACTTGTATTTAAGTATTTTTCTCAGTGTGAATGGCTGCTAAGTTTGGCGGTCTGTGAACGATGTGGCAATTTTTCAATTAAACGAAAGTGTCAAATGATCTGAACTGCTCTTTACGATTAGCTTGAGGACTTTACTTTGAATTCTAGCTTGAACGATACCCAAGTCATAGCTGGCCAACTTATGTCTTAAGTGACAAACTCTACCCCACTGCTGCCAATAAAGCTTCCTACCAGAGAAACTCATGTCACAAAGCTCTAAAGGAATAGCCATGACACGCACAGTTACAAGCTAACCACCTCGAAGCTCTTCTACAGTATATGTGCGTGATCGATATACCGATCATTTCCTAATCACTATTCTGAACTCGCCCTGATGAATGTTTGTGTATACCCTCTATTTGAACAAAGATTACCACACTGCTCGCCTGCAGTGTTATCGATCCAATAATGACAGTCATTTTGCAATCACCTGGGAAGCGTTGCACCTACTGGATTTTAATCCGTTACTTTTCTGTACGGTGATTTCTAATTCGATGTTTGTTTCAAGACGCTGATCGCTTGAATGAACTAAACTCCTTCCTCCATCTTTCTTTTCAGGAACTGGCGGAGGTCCGTATGCAGAAACAAAAAAATATAGCTAGGGCACAACTTTTGACTGCAGGTAAAGTTTTCACGTTTCATGACCAAATCGAATTTGATATCAAATACGAATTTTCATTCATCCTAATTACGACTTAATTGCTTATTTTTTGTTCTGTGCTTGAAAAAGGTTTATAACGTCAAACTAAGATAAATTCCTGCTCTTTTTCTTCCACTCCCCGAGGCAAATTAAACCCAATTAGTTTTTCTCACCATGGTTACGCCACTCCTAAAAGGAGGAGATGTACTTTGAACCGTTGAAATCACAACTAGATAAGAAAGGGCAAGGAGTGCAGTGTGTGCATAGAGAACCCTTCTAGGTATTTGCTCTTTGCTTTAGTCAAACGATACGAAATGCCACGTGAAGCGTAGTTTCTTGAAGGGCTTAGTTAACGGATCAACTAGGTACTCTTTCAGAGCAACAGGGTTCGGCAAATGTAAAATAGTGAATGCAATTTGTGTATATTTCCTAATGCAGGTATGTTTTAGAATGTTTTCGCGTTGAGATGTATTTTTACACTTCACTTTTGCACTTAGACCCACCCGCACCTAATCTGGGACCGAAACCGCTATGGAAAAAGCCACCACGAAAATCTTCTGCTCCGGGATCAAAATTGTTCCCAGGTGGAAATTCCGATCTGATTTTCCAATTACTCAAAGACCAAAATCAGTCCGTTGCTCAATCACTGAATAATCAAAATACCACTCGACTACCAATGTCTGTTTCCAGTTGTGATTTATCCTGGCATGCGCAAAAACCACCCCCACCGCAACCGGGAAGCTCCGGTTGGAATGGTGAAACCAGGTCCGACAATTTTGCACCATCTGATCTCTCAGAAAGGAAGTTCAAATTTTCCGTTCCAAATCTAGCCGCGGAGATGGGACAAAATAATTTCAAGGTAAGTGTAACAACAACCATAAGAACCGCAACAATGACGACAACAACGAAGACGAATAAAAAACAACGCCAACTTGAAACTAGGAATAAAACCTAAATAATTATCTTCTCCCATTCTTTCTTTCTTTCTTTTCTTTCTTTTTTTTTGAACCCGTGAGAGGTATGCGTTACCATCTGAACTATCTATGTTACTTCAATCTGCCATCAACCCAATGCTTCAGAAATTCGGTAGTGGGATTAGACGTTCCTTTGAAAACTCGTTTCAGATTTCAGAAATCCAAATCTCTGCAATCGGTTCACCTTATTGATTATGTGAATAAGCATACTGATACTGTTTGTCAATATCAAGAGATGAATGGTAAATGCAAAAGTCGAAATAGTTGCTCAATTGTACCGTTCCCTAAATAAATCGATCTAGGGAACGTCCGGATGACAGATCAAATTTCCACCCGACAAGCGTAGCAAGCAGGTGCTCGCCCGGAATCAGTTGGATTCCAAAGAGCTACTTGTGTTGATCAAGATCGTCCGATCAAGAAACCGAACAGTTCCCTTTTTCGATCTCGAGATAGTAGTATCTATGTAACTCAGGTGTACTTGCTCAGATAGAATGCAATGTATCAATCTTATTTGGGTGCTGTGTTATGCGCAGTCAAGCGCTATATAAAGCGAACAGAGAAAGAAACATTCTACCGACACTGAGAATATGCTTTTCAAAATATTTTTACTGTACTTGACAATGATTATGCTGAAAAGATCATCAATACCACCTCCTGGATGTTGTGAGTTCAAATCCTGCGATCATTTTTCGTCTAACCAAATTAAGTTTGTCTAAGGTCCGCTTTGGGTTTGCCGTTACCTTTGTTTTTAAAACCTACTTTACAAACATATACAGATATATTAGGAACTCTGGGGCACCAAATAGTCAAATATATTCAGAAGTGAAAAAATAATAAAAAATGCTGTTTCATCAAAGAAAGTAGAAAAAATAAATGTCAGAAATAAGTAACGAGTTATTGCTCAATTCGTGCCACAACCTTATGGAAGATCACCTGATGATCCATTATCATCGAAACATACGTAACTTGAGTTTTTAACTTTTCGGTTACTCGTTACCAAGTGGAAAAATGGCGAAAAACATATTGTAGAACTCGGAATCGATTAAGGTCTCTGGGTTAACTGACTTCCAAAAATTCACACTATTCATCTATGTTCTTTCGGGAGAAAAAAATACTTGCTGACCAATGGCATATATGTTGCCACGATACTAACTAAGCTCATAGGAAAATATAACTTCTCACATACTGAACACGGTTTAGGACAACCACAAATAAACTGCAGCAATTAATGAGAAACGTTACAACTCCGTACGCACCGACCGTGCTCCGGATGTACACCCACGTGCATAACACAAGACTTAGGAATCAGTCTCGTCCGGTATTTTAAACGTTATCAATTTGTTCTTTAACGCGATGTCCGATCTGTGGGAAACTTTGGTCACTTTATTCCGTCTGTGCACATTAATGTTTAATCAAAGAAAACGGGATTTTGTATATGTACAGTGGTAGTCTAGCTTTCAGCAACAGTAAGTTGTCTCTGAGTGTCATCAACTACCCCCTCGCCCCTCTGTTACTCAAAAATAATGTTATGCGTTTTATTCTGAAGAATCTGCGACTGATACTCCCGATGCGTCATAGCGCACAGAATTCTTGTCTGCTTTCTCCAACTTTGATCACCAGCCAGCCACTAGAGGTCCTTGCTACACACACACACACTTAAGAGTGTTGCCCAATTTGGGTGTGTCTGGTCGTAAATGTAAGACAAAAACACATTACATACAAAGGATG